TGAAGTCTGAGTATAGGAGTCAGCCTCTGAAATTCAGGGGGACATATTATGCTCTTCAGTGTGTGCTTAAGCACCATGCTGGATGGAAGTCGGAGTGACAAAGATTACAGATTTTTCCCTGCAACCCTCCCAGTCCCCCTCCTCCCCACATACGTTGTCATTAGCGACAGCAGGCAGGGAGGTATATGGCCCGAATGATGTTAAGACAGATGCACAGGCTGTAATTTAACATGCAGTTTGGCCTCCTTCCTCCACAAAGCCAATCTGGCACCTCTGCTGGAGAAGTTACATTGCCGAGTGGGAAAACAAACAATCCTGCCAATGTTAGTGCTGGGGGAAAAAAAGCAGAACAGGAGCTGCTTATCAGAGACCCACATTTTGAGAGGAAAATTTACTGAATCCTGAGGAAGGAAGGATTCTCTGCAGAGCTTCAAGTACTCTTCTGACAACCTCATCCTGCAGGAGCTCGGGCAGGGAGCTGGGCCCCTTCCTATTGTGAAAACTGGGTCTGGAGAACTGAAAATGAACATAACAACAGGAGTCCCCAGACTGCAGCAGTGCTGTAAAGCTGTAATAAAAAACCCAACCATGTTAGTCTTAATAAATCTGACTGGCACAGATGGTTGTCTGGGAATTGGGATTTTAGAAACAGTAGGAATGACTCAAAGCCCAGAGAACTTGAAGTCTGGAAGTGTTTGAGGCAAAGTTTTCCCTCGGCCCACAGTTCCAATCTCAATTTTGCCCAAGTTTGCAGGTGTTTAGATTCACATGTATTGCAAAGGATTTGGCTAACTCTCTCTCACCTTCATGAGAATTTCAATTTCACTGGATCAGCTTTCAGGGAGGACAGAGAAAGGACTGCGTGTGCTGGTGCAACTAGCTGAAGAGCTGCATGATTTATTTTTTGTAAATAACTTGAAATCATTATTAATCCAAGCATCTCCAAGGACTTCCCAAGCAGCAGTGAAGTTAATGCTACCTGCTCTTCTCTCTGGTCCACCTCCCTAGTGCAATACATTCAATAATCACATACCAACACATTAGCACATCTGAACAAGATTCCCAACAGCTGCAGGGCCAAATTATATTTTGGGTGATCTAAGCTGATGCCTCAGAGTTCAGCTCCTGCCATGACATGAAGAGATTAATATCTCAGCTTTCATACCTGCTTTTAGCTCTTGTACTGCTCTATGAGAACAAATTGAATGCAATCGTATCTGCTTGCATGCACAGAGGACGCCCGTTTTCCCTGCACCGAGGTGATGCTCACCAATGCAGAGCTCTTGTAGGACCCCCGCTGGTAACCATGTGCCATCACAGCTCTCTTCAAGTAATTTGGGGAGCAGATTCTCTCCATCCTCCCATATAATCTTCTGCTTGGATGAGAAGTGGGATGCTCAGGCCATCGAAAGGAATGCAGCTGTAATCCAGCTACTGCATGGCGAGCAAGAGAGGATAAATACCACAGGGTCGCAGAAGGGTGATCTAAAATTGCCTTAAAGCTGTCCTGATCAGTCACGTAAACCACTGGGAAGGGGAATACTGCTCAGCAGTCAGCGCACGGCAGGCATCTTGCTAGGGCTTTCGCTCTGCTGTGTCAAACAGAGCACACCTGCAGCAGAGAATCTAGTTCAGCCTGTAACCCTGAAATTGAGAACTGTGTTACAGGGCACGTTGAGGCCACTGAAGTGGTATTAGCAAAGTTTCCTAAATACTCAAGAGGTAATTACTCTGTGTCCGAGGTGGCTCAATCAAATTCTGATCTATTACTCTAGTCAGCATCCTTTGTAATTATAAAGGGCGTAAATCTATTTTCACAAAAACAGTATACTGCATAAGACTGGGAAACATTCTTTCCACTGTTTGCAGTATTTCTCTCTCCACTACCTTTCAGAGTTCGTAAGGATTGAATGCATACCACAGTGTGGTGGGTTAACCCCGGCTGGACGCCAGGTGCCCACCAAAGC